GCCATCTCGGGCACCTTCGGGAGCTTCATCTCAGAAAGCTTCATGTCTGCAACTTTGGGGAGCTGCACCCCTGGGAGGTGCATGTCTGGCACGGCCATCTCAGGCACTTTGGGGAGCTTCATTTCTGCAACTTTGGGGAGCTGCACCTCTGGGAGCTGCATGTCCGGCACGGCCATCTCGGGCACCTTCGGGAGCTTCATCTCTGGAACTTTCGGCAGCTGCACCTCTGGGAGTTGCACATCTGGAAGGGCAGCCTCAGGCATTTTCGGGAGCTTGACATCAGGGGCCTTGGGCAGCCTCATCTCAGGCCCCTTGGGCACCTTGATCTCAGGCACTGAGACCCCAATGCCAAAGGAGGGCATCTTGATGCTGGGCAGTTTCAGCTTGCTCTCAGCCTCAGGGGCGGTGGGGCGGGGCTCCAGGCGAGAAAGCCCGAAGGTGGGCATTCGGAGTTTGGGCCCCTTTGCCCTGGTCTCTGGGCTGCCCTTGGCCACTTTGACCTCAGCAACTTCCTTTCCTCGAGCCCCAAAGAGAGGGAAACTGAGGCGGGATGTCTTCAGGGCCACCTCAGGCACCTCTCCTCGGGCCTCTAGCTCTTTGCCCGGCAAGGTCAGGTCCACTCCCACGGCAGGCGCTGCCACATCCAGGGTGGGCACCACCACCGTCGCGGCCCCTTCTCGGGACTCCAGGCAGGGAAGTGTGGGCAACGTGGGTAGAGAGGGCAAGGTGGGCAGCTCCACTTGGGGCACCTGGATCCCTCCGGCCGTAGGCTCCACAGCAGGTGCAGCAGGGGCTCCCAGCCCCAGAGTCGGCAAGTGAAGGGCAAAGCCCCCAGCTGCTGCCTCGGCTGCTGCGGCCACCTCTCCCGGACCCTTGGGGGCTGAGACCTGAGGGACACCCACCTCAGCCCCTGGCAGCCGAGGCCCAACCAGCTCCACTTGGGGGGCTATGAAGCGGGCGCCTGCTGCCGCTTCAGCCTCCGCCTTGGCCTTTCTGGGGGGAGGAGCGGCAGCCGCCAGCCGGGCTATATGAGCCTCTTCAGCCACTTCTCGGACTCGCAGCCGAGGCAGCTGGAGGCGCCGGCGGGTGGGGGCAGCTGCGACAGGACCCTTGACAACCTCAGCTTTGAGGCCCCGACGCAGACGGGAGAACTTGGGGAAGGAGAATTCCACGTCAACAGGGGACAGCTCTGCAGGGGCCCCCAGGGCCCCAGGCATCATCATCATCTTCTTCTTCACGGGGGACAGACTCTGGATGTTCTGGGGAGAGAGGAGAGAGGCGGGAGGCGGTGGGACAGTGGGAGGCCCAGGGTGAACAGGGGAGCCCCACCCGGTATTGGACCAGGCTGGGGAAGCATCTTGTCCCCCAAACACTAGCCCCACTTCCTGCCGTCGTTTCACCATTACTGCCTCAGAAAGCAAAGACAGTCATTTAAAGTCTCAACAAGAGTCCAACAGGAGAGCAGGAGCTGATGGTGAGGATGTCTCTCCGAGGTGGGTGAGGGCCCTGATCTGGGATGGGTGCGACCCCTCCCCAAGGAGGAGTTTAGGGGCAAGAACAGGAGGCAGAGGTGAGATTAGCAATGGGTTAGTGACAAGACGGAGGAGGAGGCTGGCCCAAGGTGTGGGGGTACAGGGCTCACGGTGCAGAGACAGGATCGCCCGGGCAGTTCAGGGCCAGGACCGGGGCCGGGCTAAGCACGCGTACCAGCTTGGCCACCTTGGCCCGTGGGCCTTTGATCTCGTAGCCGGCCACAGTGCCAGGCCGCAGCGCCAGGTCCCCGGTGGGCACAGTGCGCTTTAGGCAGAAGGAGACTTTGTAAGGCTCGGCGCATTGCAGCAGACGTAATGCGTCCTCGTACTTGAAGTTCTCGAAGAAAACGCGGGCGCTCAGCAGCTGGTCCCCTGCAGGTGAGGAGGTGGTGGGCAGGGCAGTGAGTCGCAGACGCCTGATCACGCTAGCCAGCTCCCAGGGAACCCGCCCCAAGCCTTGGCCCCGCCTTTCCCTGAGCGCTACAGGGAGACGCAAAGTTCCGCCCAGAGAAACCCCGCCCACGCTAACCCCGCCCACAGAGCAAATCCACGCCCACACCAGCCCCGCCCGCGGAGCAAGTCCACGCCCACACCAGCCCCTCCCACCGAGCAAATCCACGCCCACCCAGGCCACGCCTGTCACCTCTCCACAACCCTCCCTTAACCTCACATTTCAGATATTAACTTTACTTCCTTTACTGCGAGTCTAGAATTGGAAGGGAATTTCCAGAAGTTCCCACCCCACCTACTCACACCCCAACTCCTGTGGCAACTTATATTCCACTGGCTACCTGTCCCCTCACCTCTCCACCTGTCCAACCCCCACCCCCAGCTCAGGTTAATCCCGCTCACGGACATCCTCAGGCAATTCTCTTTTCCACATTATTCTCATTAACATACCACATATTGTTATTTCTCCCCTAGAAAGGCTGTATTGACCCTACTCCCCCTGGAAGTCCTACTCCATTTATCTGTCCACCTCGACAACAAGCTTCATCGAGTTATCTGGCTGCGTTATTCCATCTCTCCAACCACAGCAACAGGTTCCCTGCAGTCACCTCCCTGTTGCTAAATCCAAGGACCAAGTCCCAGACTTTTCTGTTTGACCATCCTACCTCTGACCAAACTTCACTCTCTCTTTCATCCCCTTGCGTCACTTCCAGACCTTCACACCTCTGGAACCCCTTCCTCCCAGGTTCTGTGAAGGCACGCTGGCACCGAGTTCAGGTTCGGGCCCTGTCTTCTCCATCTACCTTCACCCCTTTGAGAAACTCATCTAGATTGATGATGTTAAGATCATAAACAGCAAATCACCACCAAGTGTATCTCAGACGCACACAACCACCTACTCCATCCACAGCTCTCTCTTGGTATCAACAGACACCGTTCACTTAACAGACCCAAACCTCACCCCGATCTTCCTCCAAGTGTACCCCAACCCCAGTGGTCCCTGTTTTCAGCTCTGCCAGCTCCATCTCAGATCAAGAATCCCTGGACATAGCATTGAGCCGTCTCTATCACATCCCATGACCGGTCTGGAAGACACCTCCCTCCAAAATATATCCAGAGTCCAAACCCCTCTCTTCACCTCTGATGACACCATTTTGGCTCTGAGATTCACCATCCCTAACCTGGGTGATCACAGTAGCCTCTTCATTGGTCTTCTTGCTCCCCACCCTGTCCCTAAATTCTACTGCTAATGCAGCAGTTTAACATAATTCATTCACATTCCTCCTCTACTCATAACTGTCCCAATGTAAATCAAATCCTCAACTGGCCTGCAAAGCCCTCTAAAAACTGCCTTCCCTGCCTCATATCTTACTCTCCTCTTCAGTAACTTTTCCCCATCCACACTGGCTTCTTGCTGTTCCTCCAAGAAGCCAAAGCTTAGAGCCTTTGTACAGGCTGTTCCCTCTCTCTGCCTGGAATTCTCTCCCACACAAAGCTGGTGCTAGTACACCTCCTTCTGGCCTTTCCCCTTCTCCTCGTCCACTCGATTTGTTAAAAATTCAGCTTCTGGGCCCACTGTGGTGGCGCAAGCAGTTAAAGTGCAGCACTATGAAGCTATTTGTAACCACTGCAGCACGAGTTTGATTCCCCCCTCCCCAGGGAGGGGACCCACCTGGTGCAGCAGACCTCTCCTGTCTCACCCACTGCTCCCCTCAGCAGTGTACTTCGTCCATCTGCCTGTTCTGCTCCCCACTCTGTCTCTGGTGAAGCCTCTCACCCCCGCACCTCTGACCTGTACCCCAGTTCTTGTATGTATAAATAAATAAATCTTCTTTAAATTCAGTTTCCCTCCTGGAATTTGTAGCACTTGTTGCTTTCTAATTGACTATGACATTTACTGATTCTGCTTAAATATGTCTCTCCCACTAGAATGTAAGCCCTCTAAGTGCACAGTGTGTGTCTGATTTGTTCACTGCAGTAGCCCAGGTATTTAGAATAATGTCTGGAAATAGAAGGAGCTTAATAAATAGTTATTGCATGAATCAATCACATCAGCGTCATCCACCGTTCCAAAAACAGCCCTCACTAAGCTCTCCTCTCCACCCCCTCCAAGTTAACTCCACCTTTTTTCCAGCCCCAACAACAAAAACAATAACTAGCACCTAGTGCTTACTAGGTGCCATTTAGCTACGTTGCTAAGTGTTTTCAAATACTGACTCATCTCATCCACATAATATCCGATGAAGTTACTAAAATTATTCCCATTTCAGAGACAGAAAAACCGAGGCACAGAAAACACACAAACCAGTAAAGATCGAGGATTGGAACCGTGACAATAAACCTGTACAGCCGGTTCCAAGCGAACACCGGCCCCACACACGTCCCGTGCCCAGGGGCGAACCCCTCCTCCCGGCCGGCCACCCCGCCCCCTGGGCGGCCCCGCCCCGGCCGCCACACCCACCTTCCTGCAGGCTGAGGCTGCGGGCGGCCGGCGAGTCCTCGCGCAGCTCGCGCACGAAGATCCCCTCCTTGCCGCCGCCCGCCACGTTGATGCCGCTGACTCCCGTGTGCGCCTCAGTCTCCACGATGATCTCCACCAGCTCCGTCCGCCTCAGCTCCTGCCGTGGGAGGCGAGGGGTGGCCGTGGGGCACTGTGGCCGGCTGTCGCCCGGGGCCTGCCATTGCCCTCAAAGCGACTCCTAAACGGGTCGGCGGGGCGCAAGCCCCTCGGCCCGACCTAGGCACCCACTCTGCCATGTTCCTTTTAAGCAAGGGGCCCAACGGCTCTGCCGGCTCGCTGGCCTCGCGGAGTCCCCGGAGGCCGTGTCTGGAGGGGCGGGGCGGGGGTGGCGAGGAGAGGCGGGGTAGGGGAGCCTCGAGGGTGCGGGTGCGGTGACCGAGGCAGGTGGGCACGGAAGGGCCGGAAGTGCCCTCGGGGGCGGGGCCCGCTCGTGGGGCGGAGCTGTGGTGGGCGGGGTCTCTTGTGGGGCGGGGTCAGGTAGTGGGCGGGGCCTCTTGTGGGGCGGGGCTAGAGACTGAGCATGCCCGAAAGCCGGGACAATCCAGGTACAGAAGTGTGCCAGAGATGGAGAGGGCTGTGCTTTGAGTATGTGTGGAGACGGCAGGCACCCAAGTCTGAGGGCAAGTTTGAACTATAGGGTGGGGTTGAGGAAGGGATTCCATGGAAAGGGCTGGAAACAAGTGATGAGGGAGGGGGCGGGCTGGGTGGGGGCGGGACTGGCCGCCTTGGAGACTTGAATGTGTGTGACACTGTGCCCTATTGTGGACTCTCTGACCCCAAGACCTGCATCACGCCCATGGGAGAGGGAATCCAGGGAATGGGAGGGGGGTGTGGGTAACGAGACTGGTATCCCTGGTATTTACTGTAAATGGTGCTAACCTGGCTCTGGCCCAGTGGACATTCACAATGGGGCTTTCCAGAAGAGGTCGTGAAAGACCACACAACCATTTAGAAACCCAATCTGCTGTGGAGAGTGGGGGAGTAGCCCTGTGAAGCTGGGTGACAGGGGTGCACCGAAAGGAATCACTGATTGTGAACCAGGACCCAATGCAACAGGGAGCCAGGAGGTACTGTGATTGCCTGAGTGCCTTCATGCCAGGAGTCGAGGCCAGGACTTGGAGCAGGGAAAGCAGCTCTGGGCCAGATACCCTAGAGCAGAGGCTTCCAGCATGGAGGGAAGGGTGCCTGCAAAAGTAAACCCCCTCTGTGCGGGGGCCCTGCTAGGAGCAGTCGAATGCCAGGTCTCTGTCTCCGGAACTGACACCATTGATGTCCAAGGGGCTTGCCTAGGCTCCAGGTCCCTCAGAGATGGGGACCATTGCCTTATTTGTGTCCTTGCCCCCCAAATCTGTGCCCCCAACCCGGGCCCCACAAGGCCCTCTTGTAGGTTATGCAGATGCTTACCTCAGCACTGCGACTCCTGGCCTCCATGGCGCTGCTGGGGCTCACCTGGGCTCCAGACTCCTGCTTCCTCTCTTCCTTCTGCTGCAGGAACAGCTTTAGTTCCGCATGGAGCAGCTGCCTCGGAGCCTGGGGGGGACAGGGATGGGGGCTTGAGAGCAGCAGAGGATGGGGAGCCACTGAGAGGGAAAGCCCCGGGGGGGTATCAGAAGGGGAGAGAGCCATCCCCCAGCCACTTTCTCACCGCTGCCTGGGCGCAAGCACCCTCTCTTAACAGATGCCCAGCCGGGGTGCTGCGAAGTTGTCCGCTGGGCTCGTGCCCTTCCTCTGGGGTCTTGCTGCCTACCAGGAAGAGACCAGAACGTGAGGCTGCAGGCAGGCTACGCGGAGCAAGGAGGGACGTGGGGCACAAGCCAGTGCTCACCTCAGGGTCACCTTCAGCTCCTGGGGCCTCTTGGGTCCGGGGCTCTAAGAAGAATGACATGAGTGTTATGAGCCGGCACCCAGTGCATGCACCTGAGTGCCTGACCTTCTGTGCTTTGCCAGTGCCCTCTCCAGTGCACATGGTAGACTGAGGCTGGGAGACCTTTACCCAGCGACACAGCTGGAAGGCAAACAGTGAAACTGAAACTGACTTCTAGACCTGGACAGCAGAGCCCTGAGCCGGCCAGTCACCGGGCTCACCAGGGGCACCAGATTCACTATAAAATAATTATGACCACTTGCGTGTCCTCCCCTCTTCTGTGCCTGGGCTTCCTTACGCATAAACGGGGAGAGTGAGCGCACTCTCGGATGGAGCCGCTGAGGGGATGAGTGAGTTAGCAAGTCGGAAGGGCCAGGCACAGGGCAGGCACTTCACCAACCCCTTGCCGTCACTGTCACTAAGAATTTCAGTGGTTCTGACCTCGTGTCAAGTGTCCCACGGGGGCCACGGACCTCAACACACACTGTGAGGTCAGCACCGTCACTGAGCCGGTGACCCGAGAAGACACCTGAGGTGGGGGGTGGGGCGGGAGGTCACTTCCCCAGGTCACAGTGGCTACTAGACTGGACGCTCCAGGCCCAGAAGGCTGGAGCCCTACCTACCCTGGGCCAAGTATGGGTGGAAAGAGCCCCAAGATGTTCTCTTTTCTCGGCACCATGGAAACCCCACCCCCCCTCAGGGAGGCTGAGAACGGTGTTCAGGGTCACATGGCCCAGGGAGGAGGAGGCAGAGCTCAGTTTGTGTCCCTTGCCCCTCCCCCCAGGCCCTCCTGGGGAAATGGGGATGGATACTGTCCTCCCCACCCCCGATTCTGGCCTTGTCCTCCCGGCCCCCACCTGGCATGCCAGCTGCCAACCCCCACTTGACAGAAAGGTCAGGCCTCACGCGGCACATTCCCTGAAACAATGGCCCGTCTGCTGCGCCAGGTCACATTCCGCCCCTGCCCACCCACCCCCAGCCACACAATGGCCCTTCAGAGCCCACCACTGGCCGGGGGAGAGGCGTGGGGACCCCTCAGTGCTCCCGCTGTACCCGCTCCACTGGCTGGCCCCTGTGTCTCCTCGGGGTTGGGCTCTCCGTGCCCTCCCCTGAGCCTCCAGGCCCTCCTCAGAACTGGGCCCCATTCCGGCACTCAAGGGCCCTGACCCATGGCCATCAGCCTGGACATGGTGGCTGTTTTAGGAGTGGAGACAGGTTCAGAAAGGGGAAGTGACCCATTGGGGCACACAGCTAGGGCCAGTGTGCTTGACCTCAGTTCCGCACCTGAACTTGCACTGGTGGCTCTGAGGGCCGGAGGAGGCTCAGACAGCGAGATACCTGGGACACACGCTGGCTTGGGCAGAGGGGGCTCAGGGTGCCAGAAATAGGCATTTTTAAAGGAACCTCACTGGTCTCAATCCTGGACTGGGCAGATACTTTATGGATACGGCCATATGGCACCCCATTGATGAGAAAATGAGAATTAAGGGACAAATAGGTACAGTGATGGGGCCAGGACTGGAACCCAGGTCTGAAAACCTAACTCAGTCCCTGACACAATGTAGCATCCCAAGGCTGGGCTGGGAGAAGCATGGTGCTTGCAGGAGTGAGTGGAGATGGGGCGGTGTGTGTGTGGGTAGGGGGAGCCCTGAGCCACTCAGGCTGGCTTCAAGCCTGGGCAGCAAGGGTCACACCCAGAGGCTGGCACAGGAAGCTCAGCGGGGTGGGGGCCCAGAGTACCCTCCCTCCCATCCCTGCCCAGGACAGCTGCCCAGCCCAGGTTATATTTAGCCCAACTGTGCCCTTCCTGAGCCATGCATCCAGCTCCTGGGTTGGGGTGAGGGCAGCTTAGGAAGGAAGCCCACCCCACCCGGGGAACTCTCTGTTCCCAGCTTTGCCCATCCCACTAGGCAGGAGATAGAGGGATCTGATGGGGTCCCCGTGTTGAAGCAAGGCACAGCAGGACTTTCCAGATGCCAAGGACCAATTTCTTAAGAGGTCACTGTGGCACACTGGCCTGTACTCCCTGGGACAGAATTCCAGAGTTTCCAGAATTTTCAAAGCCCCCTCCCCCAATTACTTGAGCATTTACTATTTGCAAAGACATTTTCCTGCCATTCTGCCTGGGAAGGTAGAAGGCAGACATTCACTTCAGATGCCCTCATGCCCTTCAGAGTGGCTGGGGTGAGGGTTGTCAGTCAGGCGCTGCACACCCTGACTGATGGAGCCTGATGGATTCTCTTCTCTGCCCTCTGCACCTCTTCCCACTGTCCCATCTGACAGCTTCATTTGGGAATTTGCCCCTCCCAGAGCCTTGGCTTCCCCAATCTGTAGTGGGGTGCCCTCAGCAATGGGAGTGGGGGGCTCACCTGACTCATTCCAAGCTCCTGGATTATCTGAAGCCAACAGGCAGGGAGTGGGGGGCTGCCATGGCTTCTGGCTACCTCTATTGGTCCCTGTACCAGCATAACACTTGGGGCCTCTCTCTGTAGAATGGAGCCAGTAAGAGTGGCTTTGAGGCCCTCCTGGGTGGCACAACAGGTTAAAGCGCAGCACTATGACACTAGCCACAGCCACCTCAGCACAAACTCCATCCTGGGCCCAGGGAGTGACCCACATGGCGCAGCAGACCTCTCCTGAAACATCCGCTGGCCCCTCAGCAGTGGATTTCAGTCCATCTGCCTGTTCTGCTCCCCACTTTGTTTCTGGTGAATCCTCTCACCCCCCACACCTCTGGGCTGTACCCCAGTTCCGTATGCGTAAATAAAGAAATCTTTAAAAAAAAGAGTGTCTTTGAGGCGCTCCAAGGAGCACCCCCAGTGTATAGTAAGCGCTCAAGCAATGTAAACTGAGGGGCTGCACATCTCCCATCACCTCATATCTAGACTTTGGCCCAGCTGCTCCCCTACTATAGAGGAACTTTGGGGGAAGGACAAAATCCAGCCGGGCACCAATCTGCTACCCACAGGAGCAGCCTGTTGGCACTGCATGCTAGGGCCATAAGCCCCGGGGCTGCTGTTCCCCCTTACCAGGAGGCATTCCTTACGGCACATCAGCACGTCAGCGCCGTGAGGCAGTCTGCTCACTCAGAGCCGGGGAAGCTGAGGCACAAAGGGTGAAAGCATCTTCGCCAAGCATCAGGAGAGGGAGAAGTAGGGATCTGAACCCAGGGGCTGGCCCCAAATTCTGCCCCTAGAGCTCCGTACCATCCTGCCTCCTGCGCCCCAGGGAGCCTCCCAGGACCTCCCAGGACCCGGGTCTCCTTCCCAAGGCTTCTCAGCCTAATGGGGAGGGATATAGCCAGCTGATCTCTTACCGCCTGGTCTCCAGACACCTCGAGAGCTCCCGGTCTGTCTGCTCAGCCCCAGCCCGCTGCTGGGGGGGAAAAGGCCTGGGGAGGGGGAGGGCAAGACCCCGGTCATTGGCTGCTGTGGTGTGACATCACCAGGGGGTGGGTGGTGGGGAAACAAACTTCCCCGTCGCCAACTACTTCCATCCTGCGACAGGGTGGGGGAACCACAGGACGCCACCTCTCCCTCCTTGGGCTAACAGCTCCACCAAGAGCCTGCCCCCCACTCATGTGCGTGTTGCTACCCCCACGTGGAGACTCAGACCCACTGGGGTACCACTCTATCCTGGCTTCCGGACACCCCGACATGGTCCTGCTGGTTCTTGAAGCCCCTAAAATAAATTCCTCCCTTCCCTCACCCCATCAATTTTTGGGTTCAAATCCCAGCTCAGCCTTTTCCTGCAGAGTTTCTCTGGGCCTCCATCACAGCCCCCACCTCAGGGGGCTCTTACAGAGGCTAAAATCTTTCCACAGTGCCTGGCAGCAAGCGAGTGCTACCTCTAAGTATTCTTATTCACCCAAATGAAGAAGCTGGCGAGGGACCAGCTGCCTGATCAGGGGCTTTTGGCCCGAGTGAAGCAGAGCCGAGGGGAACCTTTGTTTCATGTAGTTTGCATTTGGGGGGAAACTATCACATGCTAAAGGCCATACAAGGCACCCAAAAATTGAGGGGCAAGATGAACAGGTTGTGCCCAAATTTTAACTATACCGCCAGGAGGTGGTGCAACTGGAGTTCCAGTTCTGGGGTACCTCAAGGAACCCCAAATACTCTCCTTTCCCCTTCATTTAACAACCAGGAGGCTCAGAGGAGTAAGTGACATCCACAGCTGGTAATTGGTAGCCTTGGGTTTGTACCCAGCCCTGTTCAACTCCCCAGCAGCCATCAGGCCCCTGGCCTGCAGTCTGCCCTGACTCACCAGAATCTGGGGGGCAGCACAAGAATACCCACATACCTCATGCACCCACCAGGCAGCTGCCTCAGATGCTCTCGGTGCTCAGAACCCAGCTCTGAGGCAGCGGCTGGGATAAGGCTGGGGATTACCCCCAAAATGCAGGTCAGCAGCTCTCCTGCCCCACTGTCCAGCCAGCCACTATCACCAGGCCCCCAGCTCTGTTGGAGAGATAGCCCCTCATACCAGATCAGCTGGCCCCGCTGCTGCCCCATCCTCCTCCTCAACCACAGTAAGGTTAGGGTGGGCCTAGTCCCAAGGGAATAGGGGACCGGGAAGGGATTGGCAAGATCCCAAAATGCTAGGGCCCTCCTCCCTTCTCTCTAAAATGCCCCCTGCCCACTCTCAGCCGCTGGGGAAGGCAGGAATGTGCTGAGCTCTGGAAAATGCCTTCCAGAACTGGCAGCCACCGAGGACTGGGGTTTGACCGGATCCCGCCAGAACCCTCCTCCCAGAGGGGTGGAAGGGACCATGTGGTCAGAGCCGCTGGTGGGCCTGGCAGGACCCTCATCCCACTGCAGTGTTTCTCTCATTCACTGATTCATTCCAAGATTCATGTGTTTGTTTATTCATTCAACAAACAACCACAGCTCTTGTTTGGTGGCAGACTCTGCTGGGCACGGAGCAACAGACCTGGATTCACCCTGGAGGACAGTCTCAGGAAGGTTTCCTGCAAGAGGTGACATCTGAAGTTAGGCTAGGAAGCTCAGGAGGAGGAAATCAGTAAAAAGGTAAGGTGGGGGGGTTCCAGGCAGAGGGACAAACTGGGCGAAGCACCAGAGGTAAGAAAGGGAGTATAGTTCCTAGTCCTGTGTCAGCAGCCAGCAGGTGCCCAATCTGGTGCCCAGTCCCCTTGCCAGGAACACAGTGCTACCCCGGGATGGCACTCACAGGGTCACCATCCAGCAGGTAAACACATCCAGAATGGTCAGGGTGGTGATGAGGGAATCAGAGACAGACAAGTCAGGGAGTCCAGGGAAGGTGCCTGGTCCAACCTAGGAAGGGAAACCAGGGAAAGCTTCCTGGAGGAGGGGACATGTGAGCTGAGACTTGAATGAGCCATAGGAACCAGGCAAGAGAAGCGGGAGGGGCGACAGTTTCATGGGCAGAGGGAGCAGCCTTTGCTAAGGACTGGTATTCAGAGAGAGTTCAGCTCATATGAAATTTCTGGGGGTCACTAACAGCTGGAAACTGAGTCCATGTTCATGGGTGTCTCCAGAGCCAAAAAAGGAGCCCCTTCCCTATATCTTCTTGTTTAATACATTTATATATTTTAAAGATTTATTTATGCATACAGAACTGGGGGTACAGGCCAGAGGGGTTGGGGGTGAGAGGATTCACCAGAGACAGAGTGGGTGGGGAGCAGAACAGGCAGATGGACAAAGGACAGTGCTGAGGGGAGCAGTGGAGGAGACAGGAGAGGTCTGCCCCACCCTTTGGCTGTGGGTAGCTTCACAGTGCTTCGCTTTAACCATCTGCACCACCGGGGGCCCTCATTTATGAATTTATTTACCAGTTATTCACAAACATCTCCTCTGTGTCTATCCCTGGGCTGGAGTCAGCAGTGACCATGACAGTGTCCTCATGGAATTCACAATCGAGGACAAAGACGAAGACAGACATTCAAGTGATCAATGAAGCAAACTATGTGCTGTGAGGAATGGATCCAAGTTTGTAAGCGGCACCTGGCACCCTGGTATTCTCAGAAAAATCCCAGTGGACTTCTTGGAGGAAGCAATAGTTATACTGGTACCTGAAGGATACCCAGGAGTTCATGTGGAGCTGCAGGTGGTGGGTAAATCTCAGATAGGGGGAACAGCCTGTGCCAAGTGCCCCTTGAGAACCTGGTGAAAGTGAATGTGTAAGAAGCAGGGTGGGGGGGAGGCCCCAGGTCAGCAGGGCCAGGGGGAAGGGCTGAGACTTTGTCCTGAGAGCTCTGGATATCTACAGGGGGGTAGATTGAGAACTAAGTTTTAAGCACTCAGGTTAGTGTGGGACTACAGGCCAGGCTAAGTTGGGAAGAAAATCCACTGTCTCCGCTCAGGGTCAAGCAGACAGGACGGCTGGCTCGTGCCCTCCCGTGCCTACCTGTGCTACCCACTGGGCAGAGAGCAGGTACTGTGCTTGTTCCCAGCCTCAGGGGACAGTCAGTCTTTTGTCGGCTGGAAAGTCTGTGTCTGCTGGCAGGTTAAGGAAGCTTCCTTTCTAGTGGGCTGCACTTTGTCACAGCCCCTCAGTTCCTGTGTGTGTGTGTGTGTGTGTCCCTTGACACACTCTGCCCCTCCTCTCTGTTCTCATTCCTCATCTCAGTCTCTTGTGTCTCTGTGTCTCTGTCTCCTTCTGCGTCTCTGTGACTCTTTGGGGGTATGTCCATGGGAAGCTGAGTTTGTGGGGTGGCACCAGCCTCCTGGTTCCGGCCGAGGCCACCTCGGTAAACACAGGACATCCTGCAGGACAGGGAAGGAGGTGGGAGCTTTTCCTCAGGGACCACCCTCTCCTGACCCAGTCTGAGTTAAGCAGCAGCCGGGCCCCACCCAGTACGCCTCCCTGGGCCCTTCCTTTATCCTACTCCTGCCCACTGCCCTGTGGGCTGAACTACAGTCCTGGGGACCCTGCCCCCTGGATGCCGTCCTGGTGTGTCACGCCAGCCCCTTGCACCCACCATGTCCCTCTCTGACTTCTTCCCTCCTAGTCACCATTCCTGGGCGTCCCCCCCGCCCGTCCCCAAGTCCCTGGCTAGAGCCCTTAGACCCCATCGTGAGCCCCCCAGCCTGTCTCCCCGTCTCCCGTCAGGGGCTGCTCTGTTCCTCCCTAACCTCCCTCCAGGCTGCTGCCTCCACTCTCCCCTGCACCCCACCTCCCCCAGCCAGAGGGCTCGCTTCACTTCCTGACCCCTCATGTTTCCAGAGTAAATCCCCCCATGCAGGGGCCCTGTGCCCTGCCAGCCCCGCCAGCTCCTCACATACCTCTTGCCCCCTCTTCAGTCAAGCCCAGCACTCAAACCCTCAAATTTTTGTAGCGTTCTTCACCAACTAGTTTTACACATGCTGTTCCCTCGGACTAGAATGCTTTTCCCCCTGAACAACAGCTCTCTGAAATGGGTTCTATTACTGTTCTTGCTTACAGCCAAGTACTGTGAGGCTCAGAGAAGTTGTGCCTAGGTCACTCGCACAGCCTCAGAATGGCAAAGCTGACCTCGAAAGGCCAGAGGGCTGGCTTTCCAAGCACAACCTCTGTTCCGAGGCTCTTGAAGTCAGTACTCACTGACCAAGTCTCAGTACTCACCTGACTGCACACCTCAGGCCCAGGTAAATGTTCACTGCACAGTGACTGGGGCAGGGGTGAAGGTGAGCCTTGGAAGGTGACCACGTTCACACCCCAAAAGACGGGCATCAATGCCGAGGACCAAGGGCAGATTTGCTTAGAGCAGGCAGAATAGAAAAAAAAAAAATCTTTGGGTCCTCCCTGGTGGCGCAATGGGTTAAAAACAGCACTGCATGCAAGCCGCAGCCACTTTAGTGTGAGTTCTATCCCCGGCCCAGGAGGTGACCACATGGCGCGGCAGACCTCTCCTGACCTGCCCACGGCTCCCCTCAGCAGTATACTTCCTCAGTCAGCCTGTTCTGCTCTTCACTCTGTCTCTGGTGAATCCTTTTACCGCCCCTGCACCTCTGGCCTGTACCCCAGTGCTGTATGCATAAATAAATACATCTTTAAAAAGAAATTCATAAATCTTTGCTGAATGAGAGAAAGAAAGAAGGAAGGAGGGAGTGAAAAGAAGAAGCCCAAGGATAACTGGTCATCACTTTCCTAGGTGTGGGCGGAGCGAAGTGTGTGTGTGTGTTGGGGGTCCCTATGAAGGCCTCTGGAGGGGAGGAGCTGGCTGGGGCGGGTATCGAGGTCTGGAGACAGAGTCTCTGTGAAAAGAAGCAGCAGCAGCAGCCCCAGGCCTGGGCTCAGCCAGGAATGGTGTGGGCCCTGGAATTTGCTGGCTGAGGTAGAGCGGCCTCCTGGGTGGGGCCTGAGGGCGGAGGGGCGTAACCATAGGAGGGTCAGACTTGGGGAGAGGGTCAAGTCCTCAGGCAGAAGCTGTTCACAAACTTGAAGACACCAGGGGGTGGGTGGGCCTGATCTAGCCCTATGCTGCTTTGTGCAAAGGCACAGCCCCCCTTCCTCAAGCTGCCCTAATAAATGTGACCCCACAGCCCACAGCACTCACGGTGGCCCTTACATGTGGAATCCATGTGCAGTGCACAACCTGCACACCTGTACACAGAGGCTCCTGGGAGAAGGCTCATTGTGGGTCTTGGGTCGTGCAGGCCCAGGGGTAGGAGGGTACACCATTCGCACGTGGATAGGCTGTCTGCATCAGCGCAGGTCACAGAGGACCCCCCCAGTATGGCACCCTGAGATATCAGAAAGTACCCAGGGCTGTTGTAAACAGGAGCACTGTTGGCTTGCCGCGGGAAGGCTCCTTCATTCCTGTAGCCTCACAGACCCCCAACTGGGCACCAGGGGGCATGGCTGAGCTCAGTCTGAAGCCCCACCCCACGCCCCCCAATGCGTCTGGGTCACAATAGTCTGTGTGCCACAGCCCAGGGGCTGGCATCAGCAGGGGCAAGCTCGGGGGGCTGGAAGACACCCCTTTCAGGCCATTTCTACTGCCTCCCTGGGCCACCTCAGCCACGTCCAGAAATGGGCATGACTTCCTCCGCTGCTCCAGGAAGCTCTGTTCTGCCCGCCCCTTCCCGGCCCCTGGGGCCAGCCCCAAGCTGCCGCCTCCCCCAGTTCCACCCCAGCTACAGCCTCCCTGAAGCTTCCGGCCTGGCCAGCCCGAGGGGAGACTTAAGGGACCCAGCGATTTCGGTGTCCCCTGCCTGGTGTTCCCCGATTCGAGGCCCATCCAGCCCCGTAGGTTACGGCCCTAGCCTCCAACTGCCCCCACCCAGCGCCCCCAGCCCTGCGCCCCTCCCCCTGCCCTGCGCCCCGGGCGCTGCCCTGCCCCCACGGCCGCCAGGAAGGACGCTGCCTGGGTCCCGTGCCAGGCCTCTGAGTGTGCGGCCCCTCCCAGAGCGGCCAGGAATGCGGCTGGACCGCGGGGGCGGGCAGACACCCGGCGCTCGCTGGCCCTATCACACGGGCCGCCGGGCAGGTGGCTCCAGCCTGCTGGCGCCGGCGCTCCTTCTAGAAGGAAAACCTGACTGCCCGCCGTTCAGTCCAGCCATCAACCCTGCGGCTTTCTGTGCGGCCCGCCTCCCGGACTCTCTCCCCAGGCCGGAGAGAGATCGGAGGCCCGGGCAGGGGGTTATTTTATTTTTGTGTAATTTATGGAGCGTCCTTTTTGTACCACTTCCTCGAGAGCTGGCTCTCAGGGCTCCAGCCATCGTTTTATTTCTGGCTCCTTCTGAAAGCTCCCTTTTGCCCCCACCCCAGGCTTGAAGACACACAGGTGGGGTCTGGGAGCTTCTTACCACCACCACCCACCCACCCACACACACACACACAGGGCAAACAGAAACCTGGCTGAGGATTGTCCCAAGAGTGGGTACAGGGTGAGTTTCGGGTACTCATTGATCTGGTTCTCAGGCCAGTAAAGCCTGGCTGAAACCCACCTCTTCGGGTGTTCACCAGGAGCCTGCAAAATGGGGGTGATCGTAACAAGACTGCCCATCCTGTGGGGTGGTCATGAGGATTCAACACACACACACTGTCAGGAAGCGTGCTGGAGGCACGGTCATGCTCAGTAAATGTCAGCTGCCGCAGTCGGCTCACCCTCACCTTAGAGAAGCACACGACCTGACATGTCGCAGAATTTGTTTAATGTCAAAAACCCGGTTGGGGTGTTCCCCCAAACCAGGGTAGGAATGCCCCAAACTCTGACTTAGGGCGTTCGGCCCCACACGGGGCCTAGTCCAATCACCCTGTCATTCCATCATGAGGGCGCATCCCCCATCCACCCCAACCGGAGGATGGAGGTCAAGCTGCCCAGGCCTAGATCCGGTCTCTGCAAAGCCCTCTCAGCTGCCTCCTTCCAAGGACAGCAAGGCAGCCATCAGGCTCAGTTTGGTCACCAGACAGCCACTCAGGCCCGGGTGTCAGCGCCCGGGTTCTGGTGGCCGCTCCAGCGCCTGCGCGCTCACCAGCACGTCCATGAGGTAGTCCAGCTCCGACTCATCCAGCTCAGGAGCTTCCTCCTTCCCCGGCCCTCCCTCAGGGCTGGGTTTGAGGTCCTCAGAGGATGGTGCCCAAAGTTCACTGTCATACATAGAGGTGTCAATGTCCTCAAACAGGCCTTCCAGCCCATCGTCCAGCAGACAACCAGTGCCTGGGCCCAGTAGGTCCAAGGTACCCAGGTCAGGTGGGGTTCCCCCAGTGGGGCGGCCAGTGGGCCCCTCATCTGCTTGGGGCTGCGGGGCCTGGCTCAGGCCCTCGATGTGGCTGAGGTCCTCCAGGAGGCTGGCCATGGAGGCTGAGAGGCTGGCGTCCGAGCTGGCCAGCAGGCTGTCGGCCACGCTGGGGGCTGTGGGTGGGCTGGGCACAGATGGCAGGGCAGCTGCAGGCGCCATGGACGCCTGGATGCGCCGCAGTGTATTTACCAGCAGGACCAGATGCCGTAGGTCCGGCTCACTCTGTCGCAGGCTGTGGTGGAGCTTGAGCACCGAGAGGTCCAAGAGGGAACTGGAGGCCCCAGCGAGGGTTGCTTGTGCCACTGCAGGATGGCCGGGCTCCAGCCACCAGGCGTCGACTGCCAGGGGTTCCTTTTCCTCCTCCTCCTCCTCCCCCCGCTTGCGTTTCAGGCCCTTGCTCAGCATCATCTGTGGAGAGGGAGAGGTCATTCGGTTTTGGATGACTGCTGTGTGATACTGCACCAATCACTGAACCTCTCTGAGCCTAGGTTTTCCTAGGGGACCTTTAAGATGTGAATGATAATAGTCTGTCCTTCCTAGAGGTGCTTTAAGGAGTCCATGAGATAATATGCAAGTGTGTATTATCCTGGTTATACAGTAACTACTCTTATTAATAACTACTATTAACATTATTATTTATACCTTCAATGAACCATGTGAAACATCCAATAGGCAGCCTTTCTTTTCTAACCCTCATATAGCTGAATCTAGATTTATTGATGTCTACTAGGCATCAGACCATACCTAAATAAGTAAACACAGGAAATGTTCAGCTGGTGCTAAGGTACTAAGGGTTCTGGGGAGTAGTCAGGGGAGGTTCCACGGAGGAGGTGACACTGATGACAGTCACTCATGGTTGTACCTGGAGAAAAGCGCTCCAGGGAGAGACCAGCAAAAGCAAAGACAGGGAGGGAGGCTGAATGAAAGCCTCGGTACGGTTGTGATTGTAGCACAGAGTATGACACCGTGGGGTGTGTGTGTGTGTGTGTGTGTGTGTTGGGGGGGGTTGTTGAGGGTGGAGAGGAGGCAGAGGCCGAGAGTTTGGGTTTCATTCTGAGTGTTGTGGGAAGTCATCGAAGGGTTTGGGGGCAGGGAGGAGAGCAGTTTCCTGGACTGATTAAATCGGCAGAAGATCCCCCTTTGCCACCAGGAGAAAGGGGGGGGGGAGGTGCGGGGTGGGAGGGGATCTGCCCGGCACATCCACTTAGAGACCACCGCATTCTTTGGGTCCAGGAATGACCGTGGTGGTGGACATGGAAGGCACAGGTCGATCCAAGACTTATTTGCGAGACAGAGTGGACAGGGCTTGCCGGGAAATCCTGATGGGCACCGTGGTCATTGAAAAGTTTTGAAGCCCCACAATTTCCCGGGGTGGGGGCCCCTGGAGTTCTGGACTCCAGGTCAAATCTGCTTCTTTGTGCCAGGGAGACTTCAGGGTACACTCCTCGGGCTCTTGCCCAAGGGGACCTCACGGTTGACCCCCTCCGTGCTAAAAACTAGGTCCTCGCCTCCTTCCGCGAAGACCCGGGAGCCCGGAACCGCAGGAATTCAGCCCCCACCCCTGACCCCGCCCCTCGGCCCTGGCGCCCCCTAGCGGCGTCAGGTCGGATCTCCCCCCTCGGGATTCCGATCCCTCAGCCCCGCGACCCCTCTACACCCGCCCGCACCCAGGCTGTCATTACTGCCTGACGCCTGGGGCGTGCGGGCCGGGATCGCTCGCGAGCTGTTCGGGCCTCTCGGCCTCCGCTCGCTTCCGGAAGGCAGTGGAGGCGGCTCCTTCTGAAGCGGCGGAGGCGGGTGAGTCACGCAGCCGGAGCCAGGGAGCCGGCGCCTCCGCCCCCCTCACGGGCCGCGGCGTGATTCACCCGGCCTGGGAGGGCGGCACGTAGAGGCCCGCGCGTCCCGACCCGGGGCAGCCCCGGCGCGCACCTGCCGGACCCGGGAATCGAACCTGTCCAAGAACCCCGCCGCGGTACCCCTCTTTCCCCAAGGCCCCTTCGTTTCATTTACATACCCGGTTCACCGGCTGCCAATCAGGACGAAGAGGGAGCCACCCGCAGCCAATCAGGAAGCGGCGGCGGCGGCAGCATTGCTCGTTCTCTCACTCCTTCAGCAACCCGCGCCTGGGTCGGGAGACGCAGCTCTGACTCCAGCACACGACTCCCGGCTCCGGACTCCTCTTTGCTACCGCCCATTCCCGCGGAGGCCCCGCCCCCCGCCCAGGGATTGGCCCTGGACAGTGATGGGCGGAGCCCGTAGGGGGCAGGGTCGAAGGGAGGTTGACTTCAGGGCGCATGCCCGGGAGGTTTGTGTGCAGAGGGACGAGTCGGGTGTCTCCTCGCCCCGCGGGGCTTTGACGGGGAGGGCATTTTGCCTCGTAGGATGTGGGCCCCTGGCACCAACCCACGCACTTGCCAAGTCCAGCAGTCGGCTTTTTTTACACACCTACCCCCCAACTCGGTCTACACGCCAAGCCAGAGAAACCTGGGTTCAAATTCTGCCACTCATTTGATGTGTGACCTTGGAACAATGCTTGAGCCACACAAAAACTGGTAAACGGGGACTTTATGCCAGATACCTCTCAGGAGTTAGAAAAATTAAAATAAGATCGTAGTTGTAAGTCACTGTCCCAGATTCAGCAAGTGCCAGGCAGTTGGATTCAGTTATGGCTAAATGCAGAAAGGGGAGGGTTGAGAGGGAGGATATTTGGGGAGGGAAGGCCACTGGGGTCCTAGCGTGGGCCATCCCTAAGTAGCTGTATGACCTCGGGCTGGGGTTTTAATCCTTATCTTTAAACTGAGGGAAATTATGTCCCAGCAGAGGGTTGTTTTAAAGATCAAATAGAACAGTTCTTGCAAAATACTCAACAGTGCAACTTGTCTGTTTGTTAGTAGTAAGTCTTTGTACTAACAGCACAGCACAAGCACTTAGTTCAAGGGGAGACAGGTGAGGTGGGATATCAGCAGACAGGAGTTTAATCTGAGAAACTGACAGTGAAATTTATCTTCTTCCTGTAGTTCATTTACTAGCTTTTGTGGAGCTGTGGACAGAACTGTGAATAAGTGGTGAGTAAAACTGGCTAAAGTTTAAGATCTCAAAAAATGCCAACTATACCAGTTGATTCAGGCAGTGATTATCAAGGAACACTCAAACCTTGGAGTGAAAGGTTAGTGGGGAACAGAAACTTTGACAGGCTTCTGAAGCTTCACCCTACAGGTTACTTGCTAATTGCAAAGGGGGAAATGTTCTTTGATGGTGTGGAGATGTGTATTCACCAGCTTAACTGTGAATGAAACTGCAGCCACCCAGTGAGGCAGCAGGACATTGGGTGCCACCAGATACAATGCGTTAGGACACACACCAGATCTCTGCGGAATCTCCCCTGTAAATTGCATCCACTGAACCTCATCACGTCTCTAGAGCCAACCTCCAGCTTATGGGAAACAGAGTTAACATTTTACAGAACACAATTAGACAGAACATTATCCGAACACAATTAAACCAATATAGAATGTGTGTGACATGTATAGCACAAGGAAAATCAATTTCAGGAAATTGTATTTCCCTGAAAATACAAAATATTTTGTATTTTCCATATTTTGTATTTTCCTGAGAATACAAAAAGGAATTGATGGGACTGGGAGAACGTTACCAAATAAAAGGCACTATAAAATGTCTATTACAAACCAGGAAGCATGAGAACCTTCACTGGATTCTGGAAGAGTAGGAAACAGTCATACTATCAAAGATATTCTTGGAGAAATTTGAGGAGAGGCTGCATATGAGATGATATTATGGAATTCTTAATTCTCTTAGATGTAAAATAGTATTGTAGACTGTAGTGAGTGACCTTAACCTTAGGAGATGCCTGCTGAGCAAATGGGGATAGAATGTCAAGATGTCTGTAATTTACTTTGCTTCAGCAAAAGAAAAAATGTGCATAAACACATATACCTATATAAAGACAACTTTAAATGTTAATAATTAATCTAGGTGGGAGGGTATTCAGATACCGGAATACATCCCCTCCACCATCTTTTCTATTATATGTGCTTGAATTTTTTCATAATAAAAAGAAAGTAAAATGCTAACTGGAACGAGTTACCTGTTAAGCAAGTTCACATCATGTCCCTGGCGATCTATTTTTATGGACTGGCGAGAAAAGGAGGCCTCTGCTCTGGGTCATACCCGAAGAGGAGCTGGTAGGAGACATTTGAGGGACATGGATTTACTAAGCACTTTGTTGTGGATACTGTTACAGATGTTGGGGGAACAGCACTGGCTAAGTAAGCTTCACAGGGTGTCTCATGGGTCTAGGGAGGTCATGGAGACAGAAAGGAAAGATGAAAACGAACGCCTTCCTTAATTCGCAGGCATGCATTGATTTCTTTCTGTATGTCAGGCAGTTTTAGGCACCGAAGACAAGGCAGTAAAACCACAGACAGAAGTCTCCAATGGGAGACGGTAAACACTAAACTCGAAAAAGCTTCTTTCTATCTGAGGTGACAAATGGAAAGGGAGAGAATAAAGGAGAATGCAGTAAGAGGATTGAGAGGTGGACAGTGTAGACAGGATTGAGAGGTGGACAGTGTAGACAGGAAGTTGCTGCTGGGGAAGGGGTCTCCACAGACGTCATGGGTTAGGAAAATGCTCTAGCCGAGGCCAGGGCTGTGCAAAGGCCCAGAGGTGGGAGTGTCCTAGCTGTCTGCCCAGCTGCAAGACCACTGCAGCTGGACTGTAGCAGGCCAGGGGGGACGTCGCCAGTTTTAGATCGTTTTGAGCACTCTGTGAACCCTTTTTTGTAGTTGTTCCGCGAGGGATGAGAAAAACGCTGAGGATGAATAAATGAAGATGACTTCTGCTTCTGGTCACTGACTTGAAGAAAACAAAAAGGACAGGATAATAAAGGGGTCTGGAGAGGTGTGTCTGTGGTCCAGGAGCACCTCCCTGAGGAGGTGACATAGGAACTGAGACCAGAAAGTGGAGAAGCCAAGAATTCAAAGGGCTGGGGGAAGGGAGACGAGAGAGCCCGGGCCTTGGGAAATGAAACTAGAAACGAAGCCACCAGGCCCGGCAGGCTCGAGGAGGCGCCTCCGCCAGCAAGGGAAGGAGGGGGTGAGGCGGCACGCCCCGCCCCGCCCCGCCCGGCCACCCCACCCAGCCCCGAGGGAGGGAGGAGGCGCCGGTCGGGCGAGGGCTCTGGGCCTCCGCCGCCTGCAGGCCAGTACCCCGCGGCGGGCGAGGGGAGGGGCGCACGGGCGGGGCCGGGCTGCAGGCCACGCCCCCGGCGCCGCGGCCCATCCCCCACCGCGGGGGAGGGCAGGTCGGAGAAGGTGGACTCTGCCCTCTGAGACCTGGTGCCCTTTGCAGGGCAGCCTTTCCACTTCTCTAGCCAGTGCTTTAACGAGGCTGGGGCTAGGCCTGTCCGGACCTCACTTTGTCCACCTGGAGGGTGGGATTGCTGCGCACACAGGCCTGGCCTTAGCTCTACGAACTACACCGGGCCTCCACTTGGTTATCTTTTAGAGCTGCGGCAGTAGGCCACGGAGCTCTGGGCCTCCGTACTGGCCAGGAACCCCACAGGTCAGCTAGCTTAGAGAGCGCCTATTAAAAGGTGCTTCAGGTTTCTTCTCTGTGGCATCCCTCTCACTCAGGGTAAGGCTCAAGTCTTTCCCTTGGGGCGCCCACAACACCCTCGTGATTTGCTCCCCTGGACTCCGCCTTTGCTCCTGGTACTCTTGACTTTGCTCACTTTGCTCCAGCTACAAAGACCACCTCGCGGCCAGACCCCCCCTCTTGCTCTGACCTCAGGGCCCTTGCCCTGGCTATCCCTCCCCCAGAATCATTACCGGCCCCAGATCCACCAGGCTCACTTCCCTCCTTCTCCTTCAGGTCTCCACTCAAATGTCACCTTGTCAGTGAAGTGTTCTCTGCTGTCCCATCTAAGTAGCATCCAGAAAAAGCATCTGCTTTCTTTTACTCCACAGCATTAATCGTCAGCCAACAGACTACATTTTACTAATTTTTTGGTGCTTATTTCAGCCTTTCCCCACTGTGATGATTTATGAGAGCAGGCACTGTTTTACTCATGTGCGTGGCCCACTCAGGCACTCTATAAATTCCAGCAACTATGGGCATTCTTGACCAGGGAGGCTGATGTTACTATGCAGGTCTTGAGGTGGGCACATGGAACTGTTCCAGGAACAGCAGAGAACAGTGTGCTGGAGCATAGGCGTAGAGACGTGTGAGGAAGGTTCAGGGAGGTAGTAGAAAGGGTTGTTTGGGTGGTGCGTAGTTTGAACAGCAAAAAAGGTCTTTTTCCAGGGCCCACCTGTGCCAAGCATGGTTCTATGCCTGGGGGTTACAGCTGGACCCCACAACCTCCCCCCAGTGTTCCCAATATGCCAGGATGAGAACCATAATCAGTGATTTAAATAGCCTAAGATTGTACAGATGCTACAAAAAAAATTAAATGGAATGTGGTCTCTGGTGGTACTAGGAAGAACAGGGATGACCTGAGAGGTGGATTTGGATTGGGGAAGCTATGGTGGGGGGGGAGGGGGGAGAGTGTCTTTTGGGTAGTTAACTGTAAGTACAAAGGCCCTGGGGAATGAACTTGGGGCCAGAGACAAGTGTGACTGGATTGAGTGAGGGAAGGGGGGAAGATTCCGGGGAAGATAGGAGCTAGACTTGAGGTCCCACAGACCTGGGTGAAATTGGGAATTGTGTGATAAAAATCATTGGGTCTTGGAAGACATGACCCAATGTAATTGGCTATTGAGATGCAGATCTGTGCATGAACCTCCTTGACCATGCCCCCCTCTGGATTGGCAGGTAACTTTACAAGTTACACCCACCCCTTTCAGTTAGATGCTGTGCTCCTCTCAGGGTGAGAATCTGACTTTAAAGGAGAAAGCATCAACAAACCCCCCTCTCCTTGTCTGAAGATTATGCCCAGGTGTGGTTTCCCTTTGCAGCCCTTCTAGAAAAGTTCCTCATGTAAACTCACCTGCAGTCTTCATCTTTGTGCAGCACAGCACAAGTCTCAGACCTCTCCCCTGGACTCCCTTCTCTTCCCGCTTCATGCTCACCAGTCTGGACTTGCGTCTCCCAAATAAATCAATCCTTAGCACCGTGTAACTTTCGCTCGGACTTCCTTCCTAGGCTACTATCCCCTAGACAGATTATTTGCGTGCTGGGTGGCATTGGGTATTTTCTTTTTCCATTACAGCCTCACACAACAAAAGACTTTCAAGTCCCAGAATCCTCTATTTTGACCCACAATTTACATGACTCACCTAGGCTCCCCTGTCCCATGACTGGGGGATGTAAACACCCAGCAGCAGCAAACACAATAGGGAAGAACAACTCTGGAGGTGGACGAGTGAGTCCCAGCTCCTTGGTCTTCTTTTCCTGGCTGTGTGACTATGAGCAAGTGGCTTGGCTTCTCTGTAAGCCTGAGGCTCCTCCTTTGTGAAATGTTCAAGTGTCTACTTCTATATAATCCGGAACATTAAATGACCTCATTCAAACGAAGTAGGTAGATCAGGGCTCTTAAACACTCAATGTGAGTTATATTTAATGAGATACCTGCCCCTAGATTTGGCAGGGAATTTACCAGATCCCTAAATTGACCCAGTGAAATTTAAGAACTGCAGGCAACACCACCCCTTCCAAAATACTTTTATTAGAAAAAATTACAAACAATCAAAAAAAACATAAAACACCCCACCATAAAACCCGCCTTTCTTTTTAAATAATGCGGCATGGGGCAGTTTGGTTCCCACCCTATTGCACGTGGTCCGGCCTGGTTATGTATCAGGAGGCTGCTGAGACTGGGGTCCTGCAATGGAGGTGGGGGTTCAGCCTGGGGGAGGAGGCCAGACTCTCTCACTCCCTCCAGGTATGAGAGGCAGAGTCTGGGTTTCCACAGCCACAGTCAGCACATCCCTGTCATCCCTCCATGGGCCCAGCTTTATCTTCCCTGAGGCCCCAGTGGTCAAAAGGGGAGTAGGAAGAACTGGAGGGAAAGGCAGAAGAAATGTGGAAGAGGGAAGTGAGATTCCCAGAAACAGTCTCGTTAAGGCATTTGGAACAGATAAATTAATTCAGGAAGAAGACCCACCTTCACAGAAGGCTGGGGTAACCAGACACACACACACATGCAAGACAGTTGTGGAACCCTGAAATGGGGGGCAAGGAGCTGTGATCAGTGCTTGGAGCCCCCACTGAAACTCAGCGTTTCATCCAGGGAGCCAACCTGCCGAGGCTGGGCTAAGGACGGAACCCCTCAATGTCTTAGGATCCCAGAATGATTTCCATGATGTGATCTAGTTCATTCCACTCCCAGGATCCTGGGGTACAGAAGAGATTGTGGGGAGGCTCCTGCGGGGCCAGAGCTGGCTCCTTCTCCACTGCAGATGTGTCAATGTCCAGAAAGAAGTCATCCAGACCCGAGTCCCCCAGGTAGCGGGAGCTCAGTGCTTCTAAGAACACCGGGTCAGGCTGGGGCAGCACTTCATTCTGGGGTGCTGGGGGAGCCATTGGATTCTGAGGGGGCTCAGTTTCGTCCATGGAGGTCTCCAACTCCCTGAGAATAGAGCCGATTGTGGCAGACAGGGAGAAGTCCTCCTCACCCAAGAAGAGGGGCTCCGGCGGCAAGGCAGGTGTAGGGGCCAGGCACAGCGCGGCCTGGAGCTGCTGGAGGGTGTTGTGGATGAGCACGTGCCTGCGGAGGCTGGGGGCCCGGGGGCCCAAGCTCCGCTGGACTTTGTCAAGGGAGATTCGAAGCAGGGCTTGCTGGTAGCTCCGAAGGCCTGCAGGACTCCAGTCCCACTTCTCATCTTCCTCTTCTGCTTCCAAGTCTGAGTGCTTCCTCTTCAAGCCCCCAACCATGATGTCCTGAGGAATGAAGGCAGGAAAGTCAGACACAGCACGGCCAGTTCAAACCCCAAATCTCCCCAATATGGTGGTTGCTGATTTGTAATGATCTGAACCTCAATTTCCTCATCTTAAAATGGTGACAGTATGAATCCCACAAGGCTAAGAAGGAGATAAACATGTGACTAAGAAATCAAGATCTGGATTTAAAAAACTGGGTTTGAATCCCACTTACTTGCCTGTGTGTGTGGCCTTGTGAATTTACCTCATTGAGACTGAATTTCCTCATCTGCAAGCGGATCCTAAGTTAGCATAAAGACCCCAACTCAGGTCCCTCTGAGTCTTAAATCTGTACTTTCCACAACACTCTTTTCTTCGAAAGAGTTACACAAGACAGGTGTGAAGTACAGAGAGCAGGAGTGATGGTAGCATTCTGGATTTGAATTCTGTCTCTGACATTGCTCAGCTGTGTAATCTTGGAAGTGATGTAACATCACCTCTCTGGGCCTCAGTTTCCTCATCTGTAAAACGGGGATTGTTAACATTATCAGCGTTGTCAAGAAGACCCCACATGCAATAAGCACAGGTCCCACCATACAGGAAACGCTTAAGGAACAAGAGTTAGCCGCTAATTTATTCATTCAATATTACCAAATGCCTACTCTACTCGAGTCAGGACATCTACTTGTCGAGACTCTTCGCACGCAGGGAGAGTATTTCTGTCCGAAGCCACCGCCTAACGGACCCGAGCATTCCCTTCCCAGCCGCAGGGAAGGGGCCTCGTTCCTTCCCTCCGGCCCCGCCTCCCACTTCCCCCAAAGCGCGCCCCAAAGGAAAACCAGCTAGAACTCGACTCGGGCCAAGCCCCGCCCCTACCGCCCGAACCAATCAGACCTCGACACTATAGGCTCCGCCTCCCTGCTAGGCAAGCAGGCACGCCCAGTTTGGCTCAGGGCCTTCTGGGAAAGGTGGGCCAATAGCCTCTAGGCACAGGCACTGAAGGTCCGTGCGCACTACAATCCCCAGAGGGCTCCGCAGGCCACAGGGACGAGCCTTCCCCCGCCCTCACTCAGAGCATGCGCACCGGCCCCGGGGTGGGTGGGGGAAGGGAACCCGGACGTCCAGCTGCCCGGCGCCTGCCAGCCCCGCCCTCCGCTGCCTCCAGGGCGGCGGGTCTGAGCCTCCCCGCCCGGAACACCCCTCCCCCACCCCAGGCTCGGGCTCCAAACTGCTTTCTCCCAGTCCTTTGGACTTCGAAGGTCCCGATTGTGCCCCCCAACTGCTCTCGGGTGCAGAGACCCACGCCCCAACACATCGCTCAAAGCCTGCACACGTTCTCCAACCCACTGCGCAGGGAGACTAGGTATCTCAATGTGGAGCCCTTAACCTCGTCGACTTTCCCAAATGCGCCTGTCTTTCAAACGCCTGTCCACTTCGCCGCCAAGCTGCCCCCTCCGACTCCCAGATCTGGACACTGCAACTCTCCCCAGTATCCGCTCCCCGCCACTGGGTCCGGGAGACCGAGAGCCCTGTCCCGCGTCCTCTCGCTTCTCCAAATGCCCGGGATCCCAGCCCCAACGCCTCACACCTTCCCCAGGACCCTGGGGCCATGAACTCAGCCCATCCCGGCGTCCCAAACGGTCCTTATCTCCGGATCCCCTGCTCCGAAAGTTCCTTCCCAGCTTAGCGCACTTCTTCAACGCGCCCCCCGCCCAAGCCCCCGTTTTGAACTCCCTCCACCTGAATACCCTGCCCCAACAACTTTTTCTCCCGTCCAGGATCTCAAGCGCCGTCTCCGGCCCCCCAAAACCTATCACCCTTGATCCGCGGCTCCCCCTCCCGCCGCGGAGACCCCGCCTCCACCACTCTCCCGGCCGCGCCCCCACCTCCGTCAGCCCGAGGTGGGCAGAGCTGGGCGACCCCTCCTCACCTCAGCTGCCAGGTTCGCAGTGACCACCTCCCGAAGCCTGCACAGCCTCGCCAGCCTCCGGTGCCGGGTAGGGGCCTCGCTCGCTCGCCACCGGGGCCTCTCTGTCTGGCCTCGGCCCACCCAGCCCCGCCCCGGAGCCGAGCCGCGAGCCGCGATTGGCTGTAATTCTGCCCGCCGCGGGGAGCGGATTGGCTGGGCGGGGCCACGGCCGGTCGCCAGGAGACGCCCGGCCCGCCCTGCCCCTCCCTAGCGCCCAAGCCCTTTTAAAGGATTCCGACGGTCGGGGGCGGAGTCACGTCTTTGGGGTGGAGGGTAACGGGGATGGCGAGCTGTTCCCTTCGACTCGGCAACTGCCCTCGCTCCGAGAGTGTCGGCATTGCCCTCCGCGATCCCTTTATGTCCGGTCTGGGTCGCGTCCGAAAGCACGACTGCCCAGCACGCTCTCCAGACGGGCGGGACTGAGTAACTCCCGGAGGCCGCGCCCCTGGGGTTCCCGAGGTGGAAGCGGCGGAGCAGAGGAGGGTGACGCAGCTTAAGACCAGCCAGTAGTTTGGCACGGTTTGTGTTGCCTGGGCGATCGCGGTCCCGCCCCTTCTTTGCCGGGCCCTCCCGCAAACCACCCCGCCCCCTAGCCCCTTTACCGGGTGCCCCCCTATTTTTATCCCCTGGATGTTTTCCTCAGTGGGGCCTCTGGTGGTCCTGCCTGCATCATTCTGCCGTTCCAGCGTTCTTCTCTTGACATGGCACCTCCGCTGCTGGAAACTCATTCACAGCTCCCCACTGCCCTGGGGACAAAGTTCAGACTCCGTATTTGTCACAAAGTCCTTCAAGGACCTGATGAACGCTCCTTACCACCACCACTCCCAAATCCTGTCTTACCGACTCACTTTGTCTAAAATGGTTTCAAGTGCTAGCCACATCTAGCCACATCACGAGCCCAGATTTTGTGGGTTTTCTGCCTCATCTCCAGGGCTACACCAGTGCCGGGTACGTGGCAAGTTCTCGAGATGAGAATAAGAAGTCTCTGAATCTTTAAACCTGTTTCCTCGTTTGGAAAAATAAACCTTCAGTTCCCTGGCTGTCTCTCACCAGAATTCACCTCAAGGGTTTCCTCCTCTCAGCAGCCCTCCAGGGTGGGTCAACGTTTTTTCTGGCTCCCATGGGGTCTTGTGCTGTCTCCTAGACTCCTCCTCCATTGTCTGGATTGTGGGCCCCGTAGGACAAGAAGGGTGGGGCGGAGCTCTCTAGGTCACCTACTGCCTGGACGAAGCATCACCCACCTGGGGCTGGACACACAGAGGGTACCGGGCACGCTGAGTTTGTTAAATGCTCCAGTGTGGCAAAAAGAAATAGACAGGAATAAACAATGCTGCAGTCCTGAAGGCCTGAATCAGTGGTGCCTCCCCCACCCACCTCCCACCAACTTTTCCAAAAGGGGAGGGGAAGGCAGTTTTCTCCAGTCTACCCCTGGGAGGGGAGGTTTAAGATGCTCCAGACCAGTTCTTACAGGTTGGAATTTGTCCATGCAATGGTCCTGCCATTTGCAGAAGCAGTAGCACTTTGGAATTAGAAGGGATTTTTTGGGGGGAGGGAGTGTGGGCAGTGGGAGGGACTCACTCAGGAACAGTTGTCTCTAGGGAACAAAGCAGGGGACAGTAGATACCACATGTCAAGGAAGGGGCAAATCTTCCACCTCCCAAACCTGCCCCAACTCAGGGAGGCCCCAGAAGCCCGACCCCAGGCTCCAGTCCTAGCCTTCTTCTTGATGCCTCCCCCTCCCGCCCCTGTGGACTGTCCACTCAGGCTCCTGGTCCTTTCTCTTTCCCTCCTGAAGGCCTCTGCTTTGCTGCCCCTGGGTTTCTGGACACCCTCCAATCCACCTTCATCTCGTAGCCAAGGAAAATTTACACACAAAGCTTCTGGTACTCTTCCCCACCTCTCCCCTGCTCGGCTCCTTGCACAGAACTTCATAAAGCGCAAACTTTTTATAATCTCTCTATACAGTTTAGCTTCCACAGAGCAGCCTCTTGGGCCTGATTCCCTCCTCACGTCCATGAAAGCTATGAATGGAGTAGCGATCGGCTTTTAGATCTTTAAAGCAGCTGCATGTTCTTCGGTTTCCTGCTGAGGATGCCAGTCTACCTCCGAACCTTCCCCTAACTCACTGTTACCAAAGCAAGTTTCGAGTGGGGCACCCCACAAGCCCTTGTTTGCTCAATGGAGTCAGATGCCCCCCAAAGGAAGCCCACAGGCCTCTGGGCTGCCTCCATCAGAGCCCTGGTCCTCTGGGTCACCACTAGCAGGGGGAAGGCTGTCCTCCACTGGGCTGTGAGATCCATGAAGGCAGGCAGGGCTCACAGCTACCATCGTCACCCCTGGGGTGATCTCTGTCCCCTTGGGCACAGAACAGCTCAATAAACTTAGAGGAAATGAATGAATAAATCATCAGGAACATCTTACAGCAAAACAGACATGGGCAGAAAGAAGGAAGAGTCCCAGAGCTCAACCATCTAGAATAATCTGAAGCCCTTGGCTCAACATTTATTACTCCCTGCCTTTGTTCTCCACTTCCAGGACAGCCAGAGCCCTATTCATACTGGTGGGAGGGGTAGGTGCTGTGCCCGTCGTATTCATCCGTGGTGAGGCAGCGCAGCATGAAGTTGCCCAGGTCATGTTTGGAGATGACTCTCGAAGGCCCTCGTCCATCCAGGGTCACCGTGTAGGCACCAGTCAGCGGCTGATCCCCTGCTAGGTAAAGACAGAGGGACCAATTTCAGTCTTTCCCTGTCCCCGACACAAGTGTAGTCCACGACCAGGCGTGGGCTTGGGAAGATGTAGGGAGCTTTTCCTGTGTGCCGGAGGTGAGTCTAGGCCTCTTGGTTCACTCACTGGAAAATCCTTATGAAGACCTGGTAGGTGCCAGGGACGGGACCCAGCAAGGGACACAAGAGACCAGAACCCTGCCTTCAGCATGCAGGTGGGGAGCTCAGAGACCATACGTTGGATGGAAAGAAACAGAGCAGTGTGAGCGCTAAGAACTATTATTATTATTATTTAAAGGTTTATTTATTCATACAGAACTGGGGTACAGACTAGAGATGCAGAGGGTGAGAGGATTC